CTGCCGGTGGAGCTGGCCATTCTTTGGGACACCTGGCCGGTTGCCGGGGAGCGACCCGGCCAATTCTTGGAGTAGTTGCCCGTGACGACAGGAGGTGCGAGCCGGTGGCGAACACGAGAATCACAGGGGGGCTGCGATCAAGGGGTGCCACCCCTGAGCAGCCAAGACGTGCGTGGTGCTTGTAACGCTGAGAGTGCCAGCTGTAGGGACAAAAAATGATGGTACTAGGGGAGCCATCACAGGGTCAGTAGATAAAAATCAAAGTCCTGGGATGTCGGGACGTCCAGGGGCCTCGGAGAATGGGAATGAAGTCTCATCAAAGACGACATGCTGGGAAATAATGACTCGGTTGGAGGACCGGTCGAGACAGCAGTAGCCTTTATGATGAGGAGAATAACTGAGGAAGACACACAAGGAGGAGCGGGGAGCGAGTTTGTGTGGGGCAGTAGCAGACAGGTTAGGATAACAACGACAACCAAAGACACGAAGATGCTCATAAGTGGGCGGGAAGCCAAGAGGAGCCTGATGAGGAGTGTTGAAGTTAAGTGTCTTGGTAAGGAGAATGTTGAGCATGGTGGCAGTGGAAAGTGTCTCAACACAATATGCTGGTGGAACACTCGCCTGAAACAGTAAAGATCGAACAACGTTATTAATTGTTCGGATGACGCGGTTGGCTTTACCGTTTTGAGGCGATGTGTATGGGCAGGACATGCGCAACTGGACACCATGAGAGAGGAAGAAAGCGCGGGCGCTGAGGTTGTCGAACTCTCGGCCATTGTCGCCCCTGAATAGGGACGCTGAACTGTGTAGCGACATAGACAAAAAAGTGAGACAAAGTGGAAAGGGTGTCAGACTTGAGTCGGAGTGGGAATGTCCACAGGTAATGCGAAAAATCATCAAGTATAACCAGATAATATTTGTGACCAGCAATACCAGTAAGAGGAGACGTCCACAGATCACAATGAATTAACTAGAAAGCATGACTAGTGCGAGATGAAGACGCATGAAAAGGTAGACGTGTATGGCGACCCAACTGACAAGCATGACATAAAGTGTGTTCATCACTTTTATTACAAGAGATAGCAGATGACTGCGCTAGCCTAGACAAAACTTCATGACCCGGATGACCAAGACGCTGGTGCCAAAGCGAGGAGCTGGTAGTGGCGAGGAGAGCAGACGCAGAGGCCGGAAACCGCAGCGGATAGAGGGGACCAGAGCTATCACACCTGACGATCTCTCTCCGAGAGCGAAGATCCTTCACAGAACAGCCAAGAGGGTCAAACTCCACAGAACAATTATTATCGGAGGTAAACTGGCGGACCGAAATAAGATTCTTAATAAGGCTAGGTGAAACCAGCACATTACTAAGATGAAGATGATGTGGAAGAGTGGTAGTGCCGGTGGAAATAACGGAAGAAGGTTCCCATTACCGACGATAATATTTGAAGGTGAAGAATGTGAAGGTAAAGGAAGGGTGAGGTTACCAGCGTCGGATGTCATGTGATTAGTGGCGCATGAGTCAAAGTACCAATTGGCCTGGGGAGGCTGCTGGAGCGACACAGTTTGGAAGTTGGTGGCGAGGCTTGAAGCGTCCCAGCCGGGTGGAGGAACAGCGGGGCTGTACAAGGCAGCATCGCAGGGCGCGGGCCAGGCCACATGTTAATGGACCTGGTCCACGGCTGGTGCAGGTTCGGTCATGGATGGCCGGGGGGTCCTCCTGGTGCGGCATTCGCCACCGCGCCGGCAGCAGGAGAGCCGCGGCCCCCCCGCTTGCCGCGCTTGCCACGTTTGCCCCCGGGGTTGGCGGGGGGCTGTGACGAGGAAGGTGGCCGCTGCTGGGAAGAGGCGGTGGGTGTCGCTGGTGATGAAGGTGCAGCGCTGGTGTGGAGGGCTGTAGCCGAAGGAGCCGGAGCGGAGTCAGCCATGGTGAGTTCCTCGAGAAGCAGGTCGTTGCGGGCCTGCAGAAACGAGGGGAAGGGGCGCCCGCGACGAAGATGGAGACCGATGGCTTCGAAACGGCCGTTGAGGCGCTGCAGAAGGTTGAGGACGAGGGTCCGATCAGTGACCTCACCAAGATCGCGAAGGGCGTACGCCATGCCCTTGAGCTTGCGGCAGTACGCGGTGATGTCGAGGTCGCCTTGGCGAAAATTGCGAAGGCGGCGGCGTCGCTGGAGAGCCCGCGTCTCGCGATTGCCGCGGAATTGTGACTCAATGGCGAGCCAATGAGTGCGAGCGGTGGTGCCAAGTTCGACGATCGTTTCAGCGAGCGTGTCGGAGATGGTGCCGGTGATCCAAGACTTCACGACGCAGTCCATGTGGACCCAATCGGGAGAGCCGAGGGCAGCCACGTTGGAGAGGATGGGCGCTCTAGGGAGTACCGGCCGACGACGAGGAGGACGGATTCGCGCCAGCGGCCGTAGAAGGTCGAGGCGACGTCGAGCACAAGCGGGACGAGCAGCCGGATGTTCTGCACGGCCACAGCCTGGGCGTGCAGGTTGATGCGGGCTACGGCCTCGTGTTGAAGGAGAGCGGTGCGAAGATGGGGATCGCCGCCGTCGGCGGAGGCGAAGTCCTCGGCGTCCTCGGGGTCACTGGCGGCAGCATCGTCTTCCAGAGGCGGAGCAGCCGCGGCGCGCTCTTTAGCCGCGCGGTCAAGGGCTGACCCAAAGCGGCAAGCGTTAGCGGCGCCGTGCGCTGCTGGCGGCGGCGCAGCGCGCTTTCGGCTTGGGCAGCAAGCGGCGGCAATGGCGTCTGGCAGCAGCGCTGGCGCGGTCCTCCTTGGCGAGACGAGCCTGCTCGGCCGCGCGTTCGCGCTCCGCCTGGAGGGCTGCGGTAGCGGTGGCGTCAGGTTGGATGACCTCCGTGGTAGCCGCGCTAGAAGCGGCGGCAGCAGCGGCAGCAGCATCGGTGGGTTTGGCGCTGTCCATGGCAGCGCGAGCGCACACAGGGGGCGTCGGGCGTGCGTAGGGAGGCGGCGGCCAGGAAAAAAACGGAAAACCTAAACTCTTGATACCATGTAAGCAATGAAGATTGCGTGGAATATTGGATTAGATTGATTAGATTGATATATATATATATATATATATATATATATATATATATATATATATATATATATATATATATATATATATATAGGGGATGCTTATAGAAACAGGACCAAACGAGATCTCCTCATATCTCTCTAACCATCTATAGGGCCGGCCGGCTATACCAAGCGCAGGCCCATACCATATACATACGCAAGTCATACATGTACATTCTAACAGGATTATTGAAGGCACAATCTTCTGGAACTTACACAACTCCCAAGCAACCAATTGGCCCAGGCTGTTGAAGCCTTCTGCAATGTCTTTTATCCAGCCTCTTTTTACAGCACCATACCACGAGCTAGAGAGGAGATATCTCTATGTGGCATCACTGCTTGGAGGATGACCCTATAGTGGTTAGCTTTTTAGACAGCTAAACTATTCAACCTGTGGCTTAATCGCAAGACCTGGTACCAAACCGCTAGCTCTCATGATTATCGCATGGTGTTTTTTATCATTACCTACATCCTTCCCTTTTGAAACTTTAAATTTTGCTTACCTTCAAATTAAAATACACACTTGTTGATGCTGCCTTTCATATCATGGCATGCATTATTGTGACTTGGCATAAATATGGGTGCTGACACCGTCTAGAGTTTGCACATCATGATGGAACCCCTTAGACGTGCATTTTTTCTTATTTTGTGGTTTTCTAAGTGAAATCTGTGTATATTCTACTGATATGGACACAATATAAATTCAGGGTGAAGGACCCGGGACTGACCCAGAGAAATGGGAGGAGCTATTCAGATCTGTTCAATCAGACTAGTGGCATTCTGCGAAGCATAGTGGCGCAGTGTACATCATAATGTAATGTAATCCATAGAGACAGCATAATTCAATAGTAGCAATCATGTACAGAGATTTAGGTACCACTTGCAAAAAAGAATGTTTGGTTTGTGTACATAATATGAGCATTCAGATATGACGATTACCTCCTAAAAGTGATATTTTTGTTGGAAAGTAAAATGTTGAGTGTTCATTATCCTTATCCACTTTCAGACTTTTTTTTTTCTAGGAATGCATTCATACTTGGATTTTTCATTTCAATATATATTCCCCTTTTCGAAGTTGTAAAATCAATTAGAATTTGTGCCGAATGATATAAATTCGGTTATCCTTGTTCCTAGAAAGAAGAAAGACGATGGAAAGCAGAGAGAAGACGGTGGAACGCCAAGCCGCCGACCGCGTGGGGCAGTCCTTGAGACCAAGCCAAATATTTTTTTTTTTGTTCCATCGGATTCCGATCGGGTCAGTATATCTGTATCACAGTCAAGGCGCCAATCGTACCTATCTCAGCATCAGGTGACTGCCCGTCAGTCATCTTCAACCTCGCGTACCTTGCTGCTCCAGAGCTCCTGCTCAGCTCCCTCACGGCGAGCACCTCTTCCTACAGGTGATGATTGCCATTGTCATCGACGCGCCGGCCTCGGATCTAGGGTCAGCCGTCGATCTCGCGGCTCCGGGTGGCACTGGGACGGCCGACGAGCTCGCAGCTCCGGGCAGCGCAAGGGTGTCCGGCAAGCTCCGGGCGGGCGGCGACGGCGGCGGCCGACCTCACGACGGATGGGAAGCGCTGCTCACCTGTGCAACGGGAGGGAGAGATGCAGGGCACGAATCGAAAGGGTGACACGGTGGAGCGACGGCGATGCGTGCCGCGTGCGGTGGACGGCGGTGGGGTGTGCAGCAGCCAGCACCGGATGGTTAGGGAAGAAAGCAGGTGACTGATAGATAAGCAAAAAATCAGGCGACTGAGAAGAAGTAAATCTGAATTTGTAAACCTAGCTTTTCGTGTACCAGTGCTGTGCTGCAAGCTGGCGGAGAGCAGCCGTTGAGGTTGAAACTGCCACCTGCGTTTCCACCAGCTTGCTAGCGCGGACTTGCGAGAGCTCGCCGGCCGACGCGAACGCGATGCTGTACATCGTCGGGCTCGGGCTCGGCCTCGGCGACGAGCGCGGCGTCACGGTGTGGGGGCTCGACGCCGTCCGCCGCTGCGCCAGGGTCTACATGGAGGCCTACACCGCCCTCCTCGTCCTCGGCCCCGACCCTCCTTCCAGGCTCGACAATCTTGTGCGTGCGTTTTCGATCAGGGCTGCCGACCGCCTGTTCGCTCAAAAGCCTGCCTTGACACAGGCCGTCGCTCTCGCACTTCCCCGTCGCGTTCTCCCTGCAGGAGAAGCTGTACGGGAAGGAGATCACGGTCGCCGACAAGGAGATGGTGGAGGAGGAGCGAGGCGACCAGGTTCTGCGCTCGAGGCCGCCGGCGCCGACATTGCCTTCCTCGTCGTCGGACACCCGTTCGGGTAAAAGATTGCTTAATTTTCTTTTCCTTCTTGATGAACGGGGGCTGTTCGCCAGATCGTATCAGTCATCATACTGTGTTTTTCTCTCACAGCAAAACAGCATCAGCCGGTTTATAAGCCACATAAACGATCGAGCGAAAAGGTCATGGACTTCATTTCATCCACGTGTACATCTTTGAGAAATTTGTGTTTTGTTCTGTGAGTTGACTTTATCAATTCTCTTTGTGTTCAGTTCCGATGAGCCTTTCAGGAAGGCAGCACACACTGATCTGGTCGTTCGAGCCAAGCGAATGGGGATACAGGTGAAGGTGATCGACAGTGCATCCGTCGTGAACGCAGTTGGGGCCTGTGGGTTGCAAGTTGCAACTTCACCGCTACGGGGAGGGCATCACCATACCGTTCTTTACCGAGACATACAAACGTGACTTTTTCTGCCAGGCCATACGCGATCAGTTCTACCCGGCGATTGTGAACAACCGCTGGCTCGGGCTACACACGCTTTGCCTACTAGGTCTGTCACAATCACAATTGCTTAATTCGGCCTTTTTGACATTGTATCAGCGCTAACTAAGAATATTAGCAACTGAACTTGAATTTCTATACATCCATGCATGGGTCACATGTGTACAGTTTAAATTTCAGTACTTGACATATTGACGTTACATATTGATTCTTGTGAGCAAATGCAATCATCGTTCAAACTGTTAGAGTGCTACGGAATCAATGTACATTGTTTTTTAGTCTTCTTGTTTAAGTTGCCAGTACTTTAAGGATCTTTCATTCTCCCCCTCTCTCTTTTTGATATGCTTTAAGCCAAAGCTTAGCTGCATTTATTTTGACTATCAATGGACTTCCGGGATACGACTTTGTGTTCGTGGTTCATTGTGGTTATCTTTATTAAAAAAAATGTAAATACACAGAACACTGATTGGACACATTATTCAGTGCAGATATTCATGCAAAGGAGCCAATATCTCAGTCTTTATGCAGGTAATCTGGCATAGTTTGTTCTATATGGTCATATTTACCTGGCAGTGCTAAAATGCTGTATCTTCTGAGCTTGCACGCTAACAACATTCTGCCTGCACTGCACTCAATTTACCCCAAGACATTCTCAATCTATACAATAACAAGAAACCAGATCTGACTGTCAGTGCTTTATTTTCTAACTAGGTTCGTGCCCGTGCATTGCTACGGAATAGCTAAATTTTTGTACTAAAAACACACGGATAGCACGATAAGATAACAATACTGTGAAATTAAATACCGACGTTAAAGTGACATTTAATCTAAAAGGCAAAGTTCGTGAAATTAACACAATCACACGAGAGAGCGCGGCGTCGTAGACTCACAAAGTTCGTGGACGCTTCAGCCATCTAGGTCATACCCGTGCGTTGTAACGGAAACAAATAATACCATAAGAACCTTAAGTTTGAACATGTGTTGTAATATTACAAAACATGATTCTTTGAGCTTGTGATGTTTGTAACATTCTGTTGGCCAACCATCGCTACTACTTAAGTCTCAAATTGACTGAATTCATCAAAACATGCAGTTATACATTGGCATCACACATAGAGAGAAAGGTATGTAAACTTCCCCTCCACATCATGCATAATTGCAAATCCCTTGCAATAAGCTTCAGTGCTCGAGGCTACTGAAATCCTACAAACCACACTATATTAACTACTATTGGCAATGGCAAACCCAAGAATCCATGGAGCTCAACAAAGGATCACCACCGAAAATGCACTCATCACACCATTGAGGGGGGAGGCACGCTCGGTAGTAGGACGAGATCACCTTGCATGCGTGCTGGTGTCGCTCGTTGTTAGTGTCTCACAAAAGCATTAGTTGCTTGCTCGTGATCCCCATTTCCACAGACCACAGGCACTTAGGCAGTACACATGGTTCTGCTCTTGCTGCATAGATGAACACAACTGAAACACCATAAGAACGACTCTAACAAAACCAAGAGCCATTAGATTCATTTACTGCAGGAACAAATTAGCATGTGAAAAATTTAGAAAGAATAAGGCGAACAAAGTGGATCTGCATGGTGATGAAAGAAATTTCTCACCTCACATCTGCTACACAACAGGGTGGCGTGCACACATTATTGGCCTTCTTCCACAGCCAAAATCAAAACAGGCTAAAGTTTTGTCGAGTTACAACCCTTACAATCAAAATCATATATATATTTTTTCTTTTGTGCTAATATTCCACAGCTGAATCCTAAAAGGCCTTCTTCACTACCAACGATTACCTGATATGCAGAAAAAGACTTAACAGAAACAATAATGGGTACAGCTGCAGATCCATGCATCTTTAAAAAAAAATCTTTGCTCACAACTCAACAATCCTATGTTTTATTCTCTGTGGAAAATAGAAGGCCCTTAGAGGTACACAAAGCACTGACTTGTTCTCTGTGCTATTTATCTGACAGAACTAATCTTCCTATGTTAGAAATTTATTGTACAAATTTAATTGGATTACTAAAATATGTTCGGAACTTTTGTGTCTTTGGCTAGTCAGCCAGCTAAAATAAAGAATTAGAGAAATAAAACACTACAAAATCTAACGATTTTAATAGTCTCCTTTGGTTACATACTGCCAAAGAAAGAAAGTAGGCAAGAGTGGGCTATCACTTCCCTTTTGCAATTGCAATATATTCTGGACACATACTGGATTGTGGACCATGGAAGAATGAATGTCATGTTTCACCACACCAATATTATCCAGCAGTCTGGCAATTAAGAAAAAAAAAACTGAGAAGTGGTCCACATTGTTCCCCTTAGTGAAAATCATCAAACACTTGCACGACAATATCAACAGATGTTATTGATGATTACTCAAAAGAACACAGGGATAGGAAAAAAACTCCATGGAATCTGGCTTTCTGCCGGCGGGACAATGGAAGGGATGAGGAGCTAACCATTTAAATCTGCCAATGACAAAACCCTCTGAATAACCACCCTGTTCTGCAGCACTACTTCAGCAGTATTTTTCAGCGAACGAACATTGTTTTTCTCTCATAATAAATCAGCATAAACATAAGCATAAGCATAAGTCAAATTTCAGCGTTGAACCTGGTGAAGTTCGTGATTGTCCATGTGAAGTTGTTAAACACGATATCTGCCCATCTTCTATGGGCTGGCCCTACCACTACCAACAGACATGGAACAAGTATGTATTGAGATTCAGGAATCAGGTTAATGCAGCGCACACAACCAAGTTCCTGCTGCGGCACGTTATCAAACCAAGCTACAAATCAGACTGAAACAAATATATATAAGCAGTAAAATGAGATAAGCACATACAGTACATTCCATGGTCTGGGATGTGTTGGCCACCTCCTTGCTCGTGAGCGTCAGAGAGAACTGCGTCCGGTAAAGGGCCTCAGCAGTCAACACGAGCCCGCGATGACGACGCGGCCACCCTGGGGTGCCGGCGGCTGGGCAGCTTCCACGTTGGCAAGGCGGGGGCGGCCTCCTCCGCCGCCACATGGTCCGCGGCAGCAACGTCGCTGCTCCCTGCTTCCCACCTTGTAGAGATGATTCAGCGCCTTCTCCTCGACCACGACGAGCTTCCCAAGGAGGCGCTGGCGGTAGCGATGGCATCGCCGGCGCGGTTGATGTCAGTGCAGCGCAGGATCCGTTGGCTCCCACACGTCTTGAGCGAGAGATCTAGATTAAAATGTTTCCGGCGACGGCACCGGTTCGACGTGGTTGCGGCGGCGTAGGGATGTTGCGCACGGCGGCGTTGGAGACGTGCGACGACGTAGGGATGGCCCAAGTGGTTTTCCGCGAGGCTTAGGACGAGGGCAGAGTGAGGATTTCCGCGAGGACGAGGGATCGATTGATTGTATGGATTGCCGGGATCGTGGGGAGATTGCTGTCTTTCTAGGAAACGATCGCGCGGTGGAGGCCGGGACGCCGGGTACGTGATTGGCGGAATGACGGCACGTGGGGGTGCGAGGGAGCGCGCGAGGGAATGACTCACGGTATCTCACGGTGAAGGCAGAGCGATGACCCGAACGATCGTCGCACCATTCGGTTTAGTTTTGTTCTTTTTAGTTGTATATAGGAGATAGTTTAGATAAATATATGTTTTGGCATTCTATTTACTGTAGTCATGTCCAATTCCAGAGGAACGAAGGTGTATGAACCACCGAGATTCATGACTGTAAACACTGCAATAAGCCAGCTTCTGGAGCTGTTGGAAATGCGTGGAGAACCAGGTATAATCTCTGAACTTTGCTTTCTCAAGTTTTCATCTCTGTCACACGTGGGATTACACTTGCAATATGGCCTACCATATAGCCACACATAGAATTGAACATAGTATTTCCTATAATATAACACATATATTGCTAGTTTTTTCTCAAAGAAATATATTGTTAGTTTTTTGCTCTTCATACAATGCCCTAAATCCTTCCTTTCTCGATCATTAGCCTCACTGTTTGATTTGCATTTTCTTACAGAGCCGGTATATGATGCGGATTCACTGTGCATAGGCGTGGCTCGCCTTGGAAGTGACGATGAGAGGATCCTTGCTGGCCCTATGGGGAAACTCGTCGATGCAGATTTTGGCCCACCCCCTCACTGCCTCGTCATAGTGGGGGAGACTACTCCAGAGGAAGAAGAGATGCTAGAATTTTACATGATCAAGTAACGATAGCCTACTCTGTTTCGCAAGACAGTGGCCAAGGCTCTTACATGGTTGAATGATTGTAAGCCTTCCGGTGCTTCTGTGTGCGACATTGGAGAAATCTAGTTCAGGATCTTTTATCTTTCAGTTTGGATTTTTTTTCCTTGTTTCTGGCTTGAACTGTATCGCTGACAACCCCTGCTAAACCTCTAGTAAGACCTATTGGCTTTCAAGAAAAAGCAGAGTCTTTGACTCTTTTCCAAAAAAACAAAAAAAACTACTCTGTTTCGATTCACTGTGGGAATTTCTCCAACCAAGAATTGTCAATCTATCTTCATGCTTGGAAGTCTATTTCTTCAGTTGGAACTTCTTCATGTATGTCTGAATCTTCTTCTCCATGTCAGTGACTTCTTTTTTTGATAAATCCGTGGTGGTGACTGGTGAAGTGGAATGTGGAAAGCTCGTCAGAGAACGGCGCCACGGCGGGCGTTGTTGCTCCGTGCTAATTCGATGGCCGCCGTGAGCCGTTGGATCTAAACCCAACGGCAGGAATTCGAATGCATTAGGGCTATGAAAAGTTGAAAACATGCGGCGCTGACTAGTCAGAGAAATCCCAAGCACGCGAGCCGCCGACTCCACCAGAGAAAGACGGTGCAAACGCCGCCGGCGACGGACCCACGCGGCCGCCTAGCTCGCCGGTTCTTTACGCCTTCTCCTCCCAACTGCTTGGGATCAACGCCCTACAAGTGCACGGCGAGGCTTGCTCCCTTCGGCTGCCACTCCGTCCTGCGCTGCCCGCCGCCGGCGCCATGCTGTACATCGTGGGCCTCGGCCTCGGCGACGAGCGCGACATCACGGTGCGGGGGCTCGACACCGTCCGCAGCTGCTCCAAGATATACATGGAAGCATACACCTCCCTCCTCTCCCTCGGCCTCGACCCGGCCGCGCTAGCCAACCTGGTGCGTCTCCCTTCTCTTGTGCGCCCACCACGTGTTCGAGCAAATGCTCGCGTGGCTCGTTCGGAGCTGTTGCTCATAGGCGTCTTCGCTTTGTCGTGTTTTGCGCGTCCAGGAGAAGCTGTACGGGAAGGAGATAACGGTCGCCGATCGGGAGATGGTGGAGGACCGCGTCGACCAGGTGCTAAGCAAGGCTGCCGACACTGACGTCGCCTTCCTTGTTGTTGGCGACCCGTTCGGGTAATGGTTGTTTAGCCCCTTTCCCGTTTTTGAGTTAGATGGCATAAGTTCGGGTATGGGTGACGGAACTCCATGTGCATTGTTGAGTTGGTGGCCATGAACATGAGGATACAAGTGGTGGAGCACGTACTTTCCACTGTTGCAGAGATGTTCTTGGGCAGACTTGCTCATGAATTCGACCATATTTGTTAATTGTGCTTTTACTGACCATTGGTATGGCATTATTTTGCATTCTCAGTTACATGCCGCTGGCCATGATTCTACAGATGTCTTTGGGTCTTACAATTGGTTGGTTGTGCTATGTTACTTGGGCTTAAAATCTGTTCATCATGTCACACACGATGTCTCTGTGTGATAAGTAATGTGTACAAATTTACTGTTTTGCGTGCACTGAAGTCTGATTGGAGTCATGGAATTAATCCAAGTGTGAATACAGACACTTTTAGGGTTGTATTTAGCTTTGTGAGTTTTTCTTTGTTTTTCATCTGGATGACATTTCCAGGGCAACTACACATACTGATCTGGTTGTTCGTGCCAAGAAAATGGGGGTAGAAGTGAAGGTGATCCACAATGCATCTGTCATGAATGCAATTGGAGTTTGTGGGCTGCAACTTTACCGCTATGGAGAGACTATCTCAATACCATTCTTCACAGACGAATGGAGACCAGATAGTTTCTATGAGAAGATTCAGAACAATCGCAAGCTTGGGCTGCACACACTTTGCCTGCTTGGTTCGTGATTCTTGCTCGACCTTTCAGCATTGTCTGTATTCTTCGTTGTCAAGGAATAGGCAAGTGATCATTAATTTATAGCCATAGGTAACGTGTTTTATAGTTAAACCATTGTACATGATATACTGAAATTAACTAGAACTGATTATTGCAAGCAAATACATTGAATGTTCAAACTATTAGACTGCCAGAGTTAAGACATAGTTTTGTTCAGTCCCTAATCTATGTTAGTTGAAGCCAAGATCTTTCTTATCATCTTCATTTCCACTTTTAAATGATATGCATTAAACCAAAATATGGATAGTTTCAAAAAAAAAAAAGCATGGATAGCAGAAGTTGTTTTTCTTCATGGTAGCTGATTTATTGTATTGTTCGATGTAGATATCCGTGTCAAGGAGCCGACATGGGAATCTTTAGCCAGGTAAATTAGCATCTTTTAAATTCTTATCCTCAATACCTTGCAGTGCAGAATTGCAACCTCACTTGCTAAGTGTTCAGTTTGATGCAAGCAGCTCTCAGTAGCTGTGTTTTATATTTACATTGGATAGATGATGATAGATCCATCTTTTGCCTATGTATTTATGCAGAGGAAAGAAAGTCTATGAACCACCGAGATTCATGACTGTAAACACTGCAATAAGTCAACTTTTTGAGGTGGAGGAAGCGCGTGGGGGATCCGGTAGACTATCTGAACTTCTTTTGAGAAGCTGCCTTTCTTTGAAAAAATCATTTTGTGTCAAACAATAGCTCCTTATGCTTATCGATGTTAGGATTGTTTTAAAAAGAACAATTCTTGATTCTTGTTCTATACTATAGATATTGCTAGGTTTCCTTCGTTGTTCCAAGTGCTTCATAGTCTTACTGTGATATCAGATTTAAAGATCATTTTCTTCCAGCATATGGCAGGGATACATTGTGCATAGGAGTGGCTCGACTCGGAAGTGATGACCAGAAGATTGTTGCTGGGCCTATGGAGAAGCTACTAGATGTTGATTTTGGCCCACCCCTTCACTGCCTGATCATAGTGGGAGAGACTCATCCTTTGGAAGAAGAGATGCTAGAGTTTTACATGATCAAGTAGTGATATACACACCCTACATTTTGCAAAAGTTGTTTTCATGTGAGTTTTCACGTGTAATGACTAAGGGAATGTTTAGACTTTTTCATTGGCTGCATTGTTGAAAATGCTTGTAGCAATTTGGATGTAGAACCCCGGCAATGTTATTGAGGCTTAGTGCAGTATGCAATTGGGTGTGCAGTGTGCTAGCAGTTTACATCTCATATACTCCTTGTGTAAAACAAATGGTGAAATGTACCAGAAGTCTACATCTCCGAACCTTGTTTGAAATCTTCTTGTGAACGCAGCTCGCATCCATGTAACGATCAGTTTGAAAAGGAACTGTTAAAAGTGAATGGAATGAACAAGATTTTGGGAACAACTGTTGCTTTCATTGATCTCTTAGATTATATACAAGTGAAGGGTCGCGAAGGGTCGCGTTGTACGGACGCCGTACAGACATTACTATTGGAGAAAAGGCAACTGTTCACTGGAACAGTCTACTAGCGAAGGGACATGCCCCTTCGTAGTGCTAACTGCTTATACTAACTAACTGCTAATTCTTTTTATCTGTTGATGAGATCACGGGTGTCTGTTAGGAACATACATCATTTTGTAACACTCCCCCTTGATCGAATTTTCTTTGAGATCAATGCAGCTGTATGCTTGGATTTCTCAAAAAACCCTGTGGGAAAAATCTGAGGAATATGTATGTATAGATATGCTATAAAAACTCCTTTAAACCTTATAGGAAAATAAGGAGAAAATAACATATATGAATGTGATTTAAATAAATCATTATGTCATTGGTATCCTATTAAAAACCCCAGTGGAGAAAAAATATAGGAGATACGACATATAGATTACTCCCCTAAAAACCCTTTCAGGAAAAATATGAGGAGCAATATAAAGTGATACGTCGCTAAAACTCATGTAAAAACTCAGTGGAAAAATTAGGAGAAAATATGACGACATATTATTGGTATTGCCTCTTGGATAACTCACATGAAAAAACCTTTTCGGGGAAAAACCATTGATGGGTTGTGAGGGTAATACGTGTCTTTGATATTTCCCAAAAAAACCCCGGTGGAGAAAATAGGAAATATGACACATGCTTATGTTAATATTACCTTATTAAAAACTTTAACAAGAAACCTTGTAAGTAAAACTCGTGAAAGAAAATAGTATAATATGATGCTGGTACAGGTCAACATTTAGGAGATGGCTCCCCCTAATTCTGGCAAATCTCGAAGTCGCCGCATACCAATTTCATGTACCAGTTTTTGAAACACAGAAGTTGGTACGGACTTAGTAAATAGGTCAGCGAGATTATCACATGACTTGATTTGCAAGATGTTTATTTCCCCGTTTTCTTGTAATTCATGGGGATAAACAATTTAGGAACAATATGCTTAGTGATATTGCTCTTTATGTAACCTGATTGCATCTGTGTAACACAAGCGGAATTATCTTCATAGATAATTGTAGGTGATTCAATTGAACAAATACCACATGACTGTTGTATGTGGTTAATCATTCTGCGAAGCCATACACATTCTCGTGATGCCTCGTATAATGTAATAATTTCAGAATGATTAGTAGAAGTCACTGTCAGAGTCTGCTTAGAAGACTTCCATAAAATAGTTGTACCTCCATATAGGAATACAAATCCTGTTTGGGATTTTTCGTTACGAGGATCAGATAAGTAACCCGCGTCAATATAACCAATCATCCTGAGATCATGATTTTTCTTGAAGAATAAACCAAGATTCTTTGTGCCATTAAGGTATCTGAGGATACACTTCGCTCTTGTCCAATGACGGCGAGTTGGGTCCGCACTATGCCTAGCTAGTAAGTTCACTGCAAATGCGATATCAGACCTGATGCAATTTGCAAGATACATAAGTGCGCCAATGACATTGAGATATGGGATCTCTGGTCCCAACATCTTTTCCCCAATATCTCGTGGTCTAAATGGATCTTTCCCTATTTATAAGGAACGAACAACCATCGGAGTTTTATTAGGGTATGATTTATCCATATTGAATTTCTCCAATATTTTCTAGGTATAGGCTGATTGATGCACTAAAATCCTTGAAGGACGATGCTCAAGTTGTAAGCCTAGACAATACTTGGTCTTACCCAAATCCTTCATCTCGAATTCTCTCTTTAGATGTTTGTGTGCTTCATCTATATACTTTGGGCTACCAATGATATTTAAATCATCAACATACACGGATATAATACAAAATCCCATTCGAGATTTCTTAATGAAAACACATGGGAAATCATCATTGTTAATGTATCATTTCTTTAGAAGGAATTCCCTCAGTCGGTTGTACCACATTCGTCCCAACTACTTCAAGTCATACAATGACTTTTGTAGTTTTATACAATACATGTTGCGATTTGCGTTTGGATTCAGAATTTGGATTCCATCGGGAACCTTCATGTATATGTCCGAATCAAGTAACCCATATAGATATGCTATCACCACATCCATCAACTGCATAGATAGATGATTTTGAACTGCTAATGACATTAAGTATCGGAAAGTAATTCCACTCATTACTAGAGAATAGGTTTCATTGTAATCAATGGCGGCTCTCTGCGTGAACCCTTGTGCTACTGGCCTCGCTTTATATCTCACCACCTCATTGTTCTCATTCCGTTTCCGGATGAAAACCCATTTAAAGACTACAAGAAAGACTTTGGAAGGTGTAGGTATTGCAGATGTGAATACCCCTCTTCTAGTGAGCAAAGCTATCTCACCTTGAATTGCTTCTTTCCATTGAGCCCAGTCCGAGCGCTTTTTGCACTCTGCCATGGTCTTTGGATCTGGATCATTGAGAAAGATTTCTGCAATTGTTGCAGAGAAGTACATGTCGACAACAGTAGTCTTACGATCATATGATTCTCCAGAATCTATGTAATTGATGAAAATTTCTTTCACCCTATTATTTGACTCAACATTTTCCCAAAATTATGGAGTCAGGGTGTTCCGATATCCTAGGATCAGAATTTGGATGCACCGTTGATCCGGGTTGTGGATTTGATCTTGATGTTGGATTTTTATCCATTATTGGGTGTCTACCAACTTGAGGTTGGCTTGGATTTACTGATTTGGAGGATTTAGCCCTTGATATCCTTGGACACTTACTTGTAGCATTATCCTTAGGAGCGGTCGTACTTCTCCCCCTCTTCTTTGGAAGTGGGAGTTGAATGGTTTTTATTGGTACCTCCACTCTTTCGGATGCATTGCGAGCAGGATAAGAGGATTTAGTGACACCCTTATAATCAGTAAATGCTTTTGGCAGGTTATTTGTAATATGTTGTAAGTTTATGATTTTCTAAACTTGTTGTTCAGTTTCTAGAGTATGTGGATCTGAGGGGGGAATGCCTTGGGCATTCCAGATGATTTCCTGGCATTCGTTTTGGTACTTGAAATCTCCCCCTAATACCGGGAAATGGTCCTCATTAAATATGCAGTCAGCGTATCGGGCCATGAATAAGTCCCCTGTGAGAGGCTCAAGGTAGTTGATAATTGATGGAGATTTATATCCCACATAGATACCAAGTTTCATATGTGGGTCCATAGAAGTACGCTTAGGCAGTGAGATCGGTACGTATACAGCGCAACCGAATTTTCGCAGATGGGAAATATTTGGCATATTCCCACGTACTAATTGCAATAGGGAGACAACGTGATATGCAATTGGTCGCAATTAAATTAAGTCAGCAGCGTGTAAGACTGTATGACCCCAACATGAAGTTGGTAGGTTGTAATTTTGTAATAACGGTCTTGCAATGAATTTAATTCTCTTAATAAGAGATTTTGCTAAACCATTTTGTGTATGGACATATGGGACAGAGTGTTGAACTTGAATTCCCAAAGCCATACAATAATCGTTGAAAGCCTTTGAGAAAAATTCAGCAGCATTGTCCATTCGAATTGATTGAATTTGATGTTCGGGATGATTTGCTCTAAGTCTAATAACTTGAGTAATAATTTTTGCAAATGCATGGTTACATGTGGACAAAAGATACACATGAGACCATCGAGTAGATGCATCTATTAGAACCATGAAGTACCTGAACGGTCCAGATGTTGGTTGTATGAGGCCACAAATATCTCCTTGAATGCATTCAAGAAATTTTAGTGGCTCATTTTGGATCTTAACGGGCGATGGTCGTACGATCAATTTCCCTATAGCACATGAAGTGCACATAAAATCTAAAGATTTTGGGAATTTAGCAGTATTTAACTCATGACCTTTAGAATTGCTGATAATTTTTCGCATCATCCCTATATCAGGATGGCCAAGGCGTTCATGCTAAATTTTGAATGTGTCAACATTCTAAAAAATTACCTTGTACGCAACACGCGGTACGGGTTTGATGTATGTGTAGTACAATCCGAACGGAAAAGAGGGAATTTTCTCAACAATTCGTTTGTCATATCCACTATTTTTAGTAACAAGGAGAATTTCCTCATTATTGTCATCACGGGTTTCCATATGGAAACCATTTTGACAGATATCCCTATAACTTAACATGTTACGCTTTGAATCGGGATACAATAATTCATCCTCAATTGTAATTTGGGTACCCATGGGGAGTACTATAGTGGCACGACCAGAGCCAACTATTGTAGCTTCACGCCCAGCGATTGTCAAAACATTTCCTTGTCTTTTTGTAAGAGTTTGAAAATATTTTATTTCTCTAAATATAGAATTAGTGGTACCACTATCCACTAGGCATAATTCCTCCTCCATCAGATTGACCCCCGTAGAAATGATGGTGGTGCAGAGGCATTCGTGCCTCTGTTGTCGTTCTTCTTCTGTTCCTGAGAGCAACGTGTGTTGATCTCTTAGATTATATACAAGTGAAGAGTTGCGTTGTACGGACGCCGTACGGACGTGACTATTCAGGAAAAGGCAACTGTTCATTGAAACAGTCTATTATAAGGGACATGCCCTTTCATAGTGCTAACAGCTTATACTAACTAACTGCTAATTCTTTTCATTTGTTGATGAGATCACTGGTGTCTGTCAGGAACAGACATCGTTTCGTAATAGGAACCTTTTTTTTTGGCAAGGTAAAGGGTGATGGAACATTTCCAGAATATAGTAGCTGTTGCTGCGCCATGCCATTGCTTACGAATAGTCATGATTCATATAATTTGTCCTTACATCATGGATTCATGGTGCATTGTCACCTACATTTGCGATTCAAGTTCCATTGTCTTGCATGCAAACATTTGAACCCTTCTGGTAAGAAAGCTGAACAAACAAAAGAATTGTATCTTCACAAAGGAGGAACCACCGATGGACGCATTATTGATGTTGGGTGTTGTTGCATCGCATCATCACAAAAGCAAGGTTCAGCGAACTGGGGTGTAGTGCTCCATCTGCAGCTGGTGCAGCGCTGCCTCGGAGCCGAAGCTGTGGTGGCCGGGCGACCTCCGCGAGCGCAACCTCACGGGCGTCATGGGGCTTTTGGTCGCCACCCGCGGCGACCGCTGCGCGACGGACGGCCTGGTGGACCTGGCGAAGCCCATGTCGCTGGCGACGGAGGGGATGGGCGACATGGACGGGATGGGCGAGAGCAGGCGGTCGGCGAACGGGAAGCAGTGCTCCGAGTAGGCGTCGGAGTAGGCGGCGGCGGAGCGCTCCTTGGGCGTGCTCATGGACCTGAACTTGGCCTTGGCGGACGCGGTGGAGGCCATGTACCCCGGGAACGGCGCCGGCGGCGCCGGTGAGCATGCCGCCGCCGCCGCGTCGTCGTAGTAGCAGTCCCCCCTCCCCGGCGTGCGCCTCGGGCGGGCGAAGGACCGGCGGGCCGAGCAGCCGAGCCTATCGACGACGTCGTCGCCCTTGTTGGCGGTGGCGTCCTCCCCCCTGGTGGTGGTGCTGGTGTAGGGGGACTGGTGCGCGACGGGGACGTCCTTGTCGAAGGGGGGCTGCGAGCCGACCCACTCCTCCAGCCAGCTCCAGCGCTGGTTCAGCGCGTCAATCTCGTCCCTGGACATGGAGATGGAGGGCGGCCGCCGGAGGCCGAGGCCCAGCTTCTCGTTGTGCAGAGAGGCGTACTGCAGCGCGCGCACGCGCTTGAGCGCGGCCTCCTCCTTGTTCCTCGTCATGGCGCTCATCTCTTCCTTGGAGAAGATGCTGCTGTCCCACCCCTTGTTGCTCGCCTGCTGCTGCTGCTGCTCCTGCACGGGACCAGACGAATCATCAGTCAGTCGATCAGTCAGTGTCAGTCACAAAAGTCATTCTTCCCCTGCCGAGCAGCGAGCACCGGAGTGCAGTTGCAGTAACCGGGCACGGCGGCCGAAATCCGCCGTGCCAGCTCAGTTGGACTGTTGGATAAACCCTGCGTACGTGTCCATCTGGATCGCCTGGCAACACTACACGAGACCCGCGCGGTCCACACCACACCACACCACCGTAGCAGTAGGCAGTAGCAGCGAGGACTGACTGGCGCGATCAGGCTTCACGCAGACGCAGCAGCAGCAGCACTGCACCTGCACGGCTGGACCTATTCCGGACGCATCGAAACAAACAGGGCGTCGCCAACGCCAACGCCAACGACGAATGGAATCACCGCACATCACACGCGCATGTGCCGGCGGGCGTGATCGATCGGCCAGCAGCCAGCAGCCAGCAGTCACCTCGCCTGCCAGCCTTTACCCATCAGTTTACCCACATGCCGCGCATGTGCGGCGCCAATCATTTCACGTGTTCCGTTCACCCGTGCCGCAACCGCAAGGCAAGAGTGACTTACGTGGACGGCGGCGGCGGCGGCGGCAAAGAGCTCCCTGCCGCGCCGCAGCAGCTGGGCGTCGTCGTCCGCCGCCTGGCGGTTGTGCTGGTGGTGATCCACGCCGCCGGCCCTGGACCGGTGCCGGGCCTGGATCCTCATGAGGGACTCGAGGCCGCGCAGCGTGGCCGCCGTCTGCCGCCGCACTGCCTGCCCGCGGATCAGCGCCTGCAGCCGCACCAGGCCCTTGAGCGCCCGCAGCGCCCGCCGAGCCTGCGTTTTCCGGCAGAGTCACCAGGGTCACTCAGTCAGCGACATGATATGAATGTTGCCCAAAAGGATGGCGAAATGCTCCAATTCGCATACAGTTAATAAAAAACGCATCAATTTATTAATGCAAGAACAAAAAATCTGCATTTTTGGACGGAATCTGCATTTTTTGGACGACTGACGACGTACCAGGTATCCGCGGTAAGCCGACTGGATGGCGACGGCGGCGTGCTCCTGCTCCTGCACCTGCACCTGCCGGGGCACGTGAGCCACTGGCGGCGGCTGGCCGGTGAGGCGGACCACGTGGGCGGCGGCGTGCGCGGCGGCGACAGCGGCCTCGGCGGCCGCCGCGGTGGCGAGGGCCACGGCCACGGCGTGCTTGCTCTGCTCGTCCTCCGCCTGCCTGATCTGGTCCGCGCCCGCGGGCGCCGGCGGCGGGAGCGCGAACGACTGCTGCGCCCGCAGCTTTCCCGGCAGCCACCGCTTGCTCTTCGCCTTCTGCGCCAGCAAGAACCGATTCATCCACCATTGCATTGCCATGGATAACGCTCGCGATCGACAAATAAAATCAGTAAAAATATCGCAGAGGCTAACGAGATCGCGACAGGAGGCGTGATCGAACCTTGTCTGCTGGTTTGGGCGTGGGCTTGGGGTCGGAGGAGGTGAAGAGCCGCCTGATGCGCTCGAACCAGTTCCTCCTCCTCTTCTCCTTGTCCATGCCGCCGACCGAGCGAGCGAGCGAGAGCGGCAGCGGCTGCACTGAGCGACGAATAAAACACAGCGTCATCCGCATTGCCAGAAATGCAGAGGGAAAAAACAGGGAATCAACAGGTGGTGGTTCACACCACACGTCTGAGTCGCAAGATCCAGGGAAATATGGACTGAAAGTGTGGCAGCGGCAGGACGGGACGGCACTTCGCCGGGGACGCAATCCACTGTCCGCGTCCGCGCAAACCAAGAAACCCAAAAGGGATTTCTGTTGTTTATACTAAAACAAAAAAAAAGATGAAGATGGCTGCACTAGATTCAGGATCGCTAGCTGTTGACGCCAGTGATCAGAGGACTAAATAAACGAGCGAATCCAAAACGTGACGGGAACTTGTGCCGAATCTAAGCTGGTGCTGCCGCTCGCTCTCCGAAACGAGAGCAAAACAATCAGGCAACAAGGCCGGGGGAGAGAGAGGAGGTGAAGAGATCGCCACCGGGGGACGGAGAGGGAGGACAGGAAGAACCGAAATCCATGGAGTACCTGTTGTCTGGGCTCTGGGGGGGATCCAAGAGCGAGCCCTGTCGCGCTCTCGCTCCTCGCGGCGCTAGCTGGACAGCCTGAGGACACGGAGGGGAGCCAGAGCGACGCTGGTATGGGGGTGTCCGGAGTCACGACGCGGTGTCGCGCTCACGCTCGCCACGCCTTCAGTGGGAAGAGAGCAGATGATGCTGGCTCTGGCTCCCCATCTGAGACGAGCGAGAGAGGACTGAGGACCACGGCCGCGTCCAGTTTATATATGGATGGCGGCACATCTGCGGAGACGATGAGGAGCTATGGCCTCTGGGGACGAGGCAACGCGCGAGACGCACGCCGTTGGCCTTCCGCAATGTCTGCAGCTCGCGCTTGTTCAGTGGGCCGCCCCGCCCGCCGTATATGGGGAAAGAATACGAGAATGCAGGTGCGCGTATTAATGACCGACCAATAGCAGTGGTGGTAAATAAATATAAATAAATTTTATATTTATTGATCGAGGAATCAATGGGCGCATCGAATTCCAACAAATGCAAAAGGTTTTTGGAACTCGACGGGTGACGTCACTGTATCTCTTTATCTCTTGGTTCATGCAGGGAGCATTGCATCGGTACTAGAAACAAACCGGGGCCCGCTAGTAGTAGTAGTATAGGAATAAAAAAGGGAAAGCAAAAAAAAAAAGGCTGGGGCTACAGGAAATGGCGAATGCAGTGCGGTGCTTGAAAGTGGTTGCGTTGCGTTGCGTTGCAGGCGCACTGGCGCTGCTGCGTGGGAGATCCGATCAAAAGCCGGGGAAACACAGGCACTCGCTTTCCTGAGTGCATCCGTGCACATGTCGCGCGGCACTCAGCAGTCAGCATGCACCCAGGCCGAGGAGCGCCTCCCAGCGCAGAGAGCAGGAGTAGAGAGAGGAGTCTGGAGGAGAGCGGTGACGGTGAAGATAAGGACGTGTCGCGCGGCACTCAGCAGTCAGCATGCTCCACGCCGGAACATGGATATCCTCCGAGAGTTGTCGTTATACGAGCTGGATAGCAGCAGACAGGATTTATTCACCGCCACGGAAAACGAAGGCGGATGAGGCATCGGCGTAGGCCGCTGCGGGAGAGCGCGCAGATATTTCTCAGTCCTTATCTTCAGGTCACCGCCTCGGCACACTCTCTCTCTACTCCTCTACTGGAGGCGCCTGGTCCGGGCGCATGCTCCACGTGGCACATCTCTCCTCCTCACAGCAGCAGAAGGGAGCAGGTCCTGACGGCACCTCCTTTGCTTCGTCTCGCCAAGCAGGGAGCAAGGTGTGAAATATTCTCCTTCCTAATCCTTTGGTAAAAAGAAATCTAGTTAATCTGAGAATAGAAAATAGGATTGATAGTTGATTCAAATGATGATGCATTCTTGCTTTTGAATATCTATAGATCTGGACTGTAAATATTATCTTTTTATGTTCAGATTTGATCTTTCCTTCAGTTTAGCTAATGGACAAGAGGACCAAGATCTTGATTTATGTAGCTGCAGCTCATATACTGCTTTCCATGATAACAACTGTTGTTAGGTCAAGGAAAAGGAAAAGGAAAATGAGTGAATGTAGACAGTGCATTAGCTATGGTCCAATGAAAAAAAGAGATATAATGAGAATTGATTATCTCAACAATAAAATTTAGAAGAATGACACAATCTGTGTTAATATGCTTAGGCTTAGAAGAGAGTCATTCTTCCATTTTTGTCAACTATTTAGAGATCGTGGCTTACTTGAAGACACTATACATATGTGTGTTGAACAACAAGTAGCAATGTTTTTAAATATAGTGGGACACAACCTTAGGAAATAGATTAGTGGCCACTAATTTTGGTAGATCTGGTGAAACTGTTAGTCGTTATTTCTACTTGGTCCTTCACGTGGTGGGTGAGTTAAGAGCAGAATATATAAGGCCATCTTCACTGGAGAACCCAACCAAAATAGCAGGGGACCCAAGGTGGGATCCCTACTTTAAGGTGTGAATTTCATCCCTAATTGAATTTTAGTTTGGTAATTTTTGTTGTTCCCTTTGTTTCACGTGTTGTATTGCTTAAAAAATAGGATTGCATTGGAGCTATCGATGGCACACATGTACGAGGACTGGGCAAAACATCATCATGTTTCAAGAAGACCCATTTGAACTCTTGTGCCAAAGCTTTGAATGACCATTTCAAGTGCAGGAGGACTGAGGAGCATATTAGTAACCATCTTAGAACAAAGAAGAGGAAGTATGTGAGGATCAACAAACTCAGGAGTTTGAGTGGTGCTCTTTGAGATGAAGTCAACTATATCATTTCTCTTCATCATGAGCATTATACAAGCTATATTGCGGTACCCTTGCTGCCATAATTTTTATTTCAATATTGTCTTCAGTTTTCATTCTAGTTGGTCTAATATTTTGTCCATATATTGCAAGGATTATAAATCTGATGCGAAATTCTTCAACAAGCCTATTGAGCACTATGGTGAGATGACCACTATCTTTGGTGCTACTGTGACCATAGGGAAGTATGCAAAGGGATCAAATGAGCCTCTAGCCACTGGAATTGGTGAAAATGAACAAGGTGAAGATGATGGGGATGGTAAAACTGTTGTTGTTGTTGATGATGGAGCGACGTCTTCAGTTACCAGGCCTAACAAAAGAGCAAAGACAGCTGAAAGGGAGAGGAAAGATGATGGACTAATGTAGGCAATGAAAGAAGCTGGGGAAAGAATCTTTTGTGCTATAGAGAAGGCTGAAATACCCGAGGAACTTCCTGAAGGTCTGTATGATGCTGTTTGTAGTCTTCCAGGCTTTGATGACACCCATTTATCATTTTACCATGACCATCTTGTTGACCGTCCAAGCAAAGCTAGAGCATTTTGTTCTCTGTCGTTATCTCACAAGTTGAACTGGGCTACAAAGTTCATTACCGAGCACTTCCCTAGAAACTGAAGATATGGATGTTTGCCTCGTTGCACATGAGTACTGCTACAGTTCTTTTGCTGGTACCCCATAGACAATGCACTGCGGGTTAATCTATATATTTGTAGCATACGTGCTTGTAACCCATCAAACATTACACTCTTGGGTTATTATATATTTTGTAAGTAATGTGAGGAAGTTCTAAAACCTGCTAATTATCTATATGTGTAATTTATGTTCGGACAATGTATGTGTTTATCAAGATGTCATGCATTTTGTATATGTGTTGCAGCTGTTGTGCATGTTTAAAGGGATAATCTCACCAGTTTGGGTAGGTGGTGATTGCAGCTCCCTTGTCCATCCAACCAAATAAAAAAAATGACTCATCCCGTCTAACACATAGGCCCCGTTCGGCTTACCTAGAAAACGGTATTATTCAGCTTGTTTTTTCAGTCGGAACAATGTTTTTCTCTCACAAGAATTTAACCAGAACACAGTGTTTCAGTCACAATTCAGTATACCAAACGGGGCCATATCCATCAAATCAAACAAAAAATAGCTTGTTCATTCATCCAACGAAACAGACAATATGGATATCCATGTCCCGATATCTATGGATATCAATATCCAATTCATCCTCCACGAACCAAACACAGATACGGTTGGAGTCGTACAAAGCTAGGAGTAGTGGGAATGTAGGATGGAGCGTCGATCCGCAGCCAAAACGGACTGCGAGAACAGGGAAGGAGTCGACATGGGTTCTTTCTTTTCAGGCAGGGGCACGGCACCTCAATAAAAAGCGAGGCATCCGCGTCTGCTGCATCCATGTCCAGGAAAAGTGCCCATTTGACTCGCTTTCCTTCAGATCCAATCCCGCGCCATGCTGCATGAGCAGGCTGGCAAGCAATAATGGCATCAACCATGTGGCAGGCAGGCAAATGGCCATGCTCCTACACTCAGCAGCAGGAGAACCACGGCACAGACCACAGAGAAATGAAATCGTCAGATGACCACAGCACAGCCTCCTTTCACTTTCACTTCACACTTCACACTTCACACCCCCTTTTCTTGCACTGACAAAGCTTAACCGGTCGGCCACAGCCTTCCTCGACCACTGATCTTGGCTTATACGAACAGTATTTTCATATCACAACAAATCAACGTAAATATCAGCATAAGCCAAATTTCAGCGAAGCGAACACTTATTCGTGAAACTAAAACACTATTTGTTTACTGAAAAGTATTGCGAAGCGAACAGGGCTATAGTACGTACAACGAAAGGGTTGAGATCGGAGCAGGAAACGGAAGTGAACAACGGTGACATTGCATAATCAGGCCGATTTGTTTGTTATTACAGTAATACTTGTTAGGCCAGTCAAAGGGTATCTTCGGAGTTTCATGGTATTAAATAGGACGCCAAGAAAAAGAGAGATTTTGTACACGGAGAGAGAAGGGGTATCGTTTCAAAAAAATTAATTTTAACATTTTTTCGAAACTAATTTTAAATTTAACACTCTCGCTTTTTTTTTAACTAACATTTTTTGCCACGTCTATTGCCCT